CTTGGAGCACAGAGCACTCCCAGGCTCTGCTGTCCCCACCCAGCTGGCCTCTGTCCAGGTAGGGACACTGGACTTCCCCATGTGATCAGTGGCAGCAGGTGTGGCTGTCAGGGGCCCTACCCTTATCTCCTAGGATCAACTCTGAAACGACACCCAGTTGCACCGCTGCCCTGGCCCCAGAGACACAGATGCCACTGTTTGTGCCTTTCAGTGCAGTCTGTGGTCTACAGTGGCAAAAAGACTCCAGAGGAGAATGAGAAAGGTTGCTGTGTAACTTTTGCTGAGATGAGCCCAAAAGAAGCCCTTCATGGTCACCCTGACCTCTGCCAGCAACAGGACCACTCCTTTAGTCCACCTAAGACCTCTCAAATAGCTGCGTGGCTATACCTCTGTTCAATGTGACAAAGCCACCACAAATGGCCGAGGGTGTGACAATTGCTAGAGGACTACAACAGGACCTGTCTCTCACAACAAAACCCTCTCCTCTCCAGAGAACCAGACAGGAGACCACTTGCCCTCACAGTGACCTGATCTCCCTGGAGAGAAGCAGCAGCAGGCTTCTGTTCACAATTACAGGACAAGGAATGTCGACAAGGGTGAGAATCATTCCTTGCCCCAGGGTCGACAAAAGGCACAGTGGAATTCTGCAGAGTTCAGAAAGTTTGGAGTTGCTAAGAAATTTGCTGCTGCAGACACAAGCCACATACGGCCTTACCACGGGCAAGGCATGAATCCGTGGGACTGCAGGTGAGTGACAGAAGAGAGACACCTGTGTCCAGGACACACTGCACAGGAACCCCGGGGACTCTCTCTCTGTCATGTTCCTGGTTATCAGGACGGCTCACCAGCTTTCTGCAGAGGCCAGCTGGACCCAGGGGAGCAACCAGTAGGAGCGAGAGCACGGCCATCAGGACAGACTACTCACAAGACCTGGCTGAGCTGATGGAACTGCTCCAGAGCCTGGCGACACCAGCACTGTTGCTTGTCACTGCTGCACCCTGCGCACAGCGGGCTCTGCAGGAGCCGGTAGTACCGGCGACGGGCATACCGGCTGTCCAGCTCCCCCTCCAGTTCCGGGTCTGTGCCCCCTTCCCCCTTCCTCTTACTCTGCATATAGACTCTCAGGAAGCACCCATACAGACGCTGGATCATCTCTTGGAAGGTTCTGGGGGTACTAAAGAACAAGACTCCGCGCAACATAGTGTGGACTTTTTCTCGCAGCCCCTGAGCACCAGTGCCCATCAGCAAGCCCAGGCGAGTCCATTTCTCCAGCAGGTCTAGGCTGCGCAGGTAGGGATCCAGGCGGCTCTCCAGCAGGCCAAAAGCGTCAAGGAGCAGCAGAAGGCACTGGGGCTCATCCGTAGAGTTCTCGCATTGGGAGATGGCATTCCAGAACTCAGGGGAGATGTTGGCCTGCAGATCGTTCTGCAGCACCTCTACGAACCACTCCTCCAGGACCGAGTGCAGGCCGTGGCCCCTCAGAACCTCCACCGCCGCCCGGAGCTCCTCTTCCTTTGGCGGGACTGCACCGCTGGTCCGGGAAGACACCTGGAGCGCAGAAAACCGTGAAGCGAGGGGAACACAACATAGAGGTGGGGAGAGGCGGGGAAGGGAAGAAGCTGAGGGGTAGGCTGCAAAAACTCCGCTGCCCCCTGTCCGTGGTGTCCGGACGTTGGGCCGAAGCTAGGGAAGGGCTGCCAGCGGAGCTGAACGAAGTGAAATGGAATGGCGGTGGAAAGCGGCAGGACAGGGCAGAGGCGGATGACGGACAGAGCTGTATGAACCCGAAGGTGGCCGCCCCAAAGTGCATAGGGTCCCGGAAACTCCGCGCGGGGCCGCCGCTCTTTTCCCAGGCCTCACCAGCCCCAGCGCAGCTGGCGGCACCAGGCCGGTGCTCACGGTATTCCAGGCCACTAACAACTCCTGTCGGGGCCGGGAGTCGCTGTCCCCCTCCGCCACCACAACTGCCGCCGCCATCTGCAGCCACCGGCTCCGAGATCCCCTCGGCACGGCGCAAAGCGATGACGCAAGTCTGCACGCGCAGCCATGACGCGCACAAGGCGCTCAGCGATGACGCGATAGTTCGGCGCGCCGTCAGGGAGTCGTGCGCAGGCGCGGACAGCGCTGGTGCCGCGGCGGTTGGGGTGGCGGGGTCCCGGGCGGCGTAGACCATGACCCAGCAGGGCGCGGCGCTGCAGAACTACAACAACGAGCTGGTCAAGTGTGAGCGGCGCAGCCGGGACGGGGAGGTCTGGAGGGCCGCAGGGCCGGGTTCCCGGCTCGCAGCGGGGTGCCCCTGGACCCGCCTCGTTGCGGGCATCGCGCGGCTGAGCAGAGCCCTCCGTGCCGGGGGCTGGGTGTCCGTGGCCCCGAGCCCTCGTTGGCTCGCAGGCCCCGCGCCGGGTGCTCGGGGGTGGTGCCTGACTCTGGCTTCCTCGGGTGGAAGGAGGCGCGCCCTCCGCCGCCGCTCTCCTGCCCTGGGCCCACAGCGTCGCCCCTCCCGGCCCCCCAGGCATAGAGGAGCTGTGCCAGAAGCGGGAGGAGCTGTGCCGGCAGATCCAGGAGGAGGAGGACGAGAAGCAGCGGCTGCAGAATGAGGTGAGGCAGCTGACGGAGAAGCTGGCCCGCGTCAACGAGAACCTGGCACGCAAGATTGCCTCTCGCAACGAGTTCGACCGGACCATCGCGGAGACGGAGGCCGCCTACCTCAAGGTGGAGCTCGGGAGGCCAGGCGGAGCATCAGGGGATAGCCGCGGCAGGGCGTCAGGACCGTCTGGGGCTCCCAGCTGTGGGCAGTCTGTGCCTCGCTGGCACGTCGGGCAGGGGCAGCGTGGCCAGGCCCATTGAGGAACCCAGGCTGCTGCGGGAGTGACCGTGGGGCTGTCTGGGGGGCCTGGGGCATCCTGGGTCCTGGTCTTCATCCGGTTCTCGCTAGCCATGTGGTTCTTTCTGCTTAGAGTGTGAAGAGCCACGTCTTGGGCCAGTGCTAACCCAGCCTGGCTTTGAGGGTGGGGAGGAAGTGTTCTGGGTCAGATTCAGGAGGGAAGAGGGCCTTGTCACCCCCTCTGCCAGTCCCCTTGGGCTTCCGCCTTCCCCCGCACAGGATCCCTTGGCTACAGCACCCACAGCCAGGTCCCAGAACCTGAGTGTGAGGACAGCTGGGGCTTAGGAACTTCCCAGCAGGTGAACAGTAACAACTTTCTCACTTCTCTGGCCCCAGATTCTGGAGAGCTCCCAGACTTTGCTCAGCGTCCTCAAGAGGGAAGCTGGGAACCTCACCAAGGCTACAGCCTCAGACCAGAAAAGTAGCGGTGGCAGGGACAGCTGACCAGACCACGGGCAGGGCCTGCCTCCGTGCGCCCCTCAGCTCAGCCCCGACAAGTCTGTCCTCAGAGCGTCTTTGTTCTTCACGGCAGCAGCTGCCTTCCCTCACTGTCTCTGGTGCCGAGAGGGGCGGCTGCCAGCCTCTACTGGCATCATTGACAAGCCAGGGCACAGCCCACCCAGGGGCTTCGTGCTCACACGGGCTGTGGGGATGGTGGGTTCCAGGTCAGCTCTGCAAAGGGCCTGTCTCTGTGGCACCCACACTCCTGCCCTGCCGGGGAGGCCCTGGTTGTCTGAGCACCATGGGGGCCCCCTCAGCTTGTCCCTCCTCAGCCAGCAGAGGCCCAGGGCAGGGGACAGGGGTTCTCCTTCACCCCAGAACCCAAACCTCAGGGCTCACCCCTGTGGCCTGTGATTATCAATAAAGATTATCTTTGTAAAGGTCCGTGCCAGCCTGCTGCTTGCCCGTGTCAACAGTGTGGGGCTGCCAGAGACCCGCAGAGCCAGAGCCTGAGGCTCCCCCTTGGGAAAGGAGGGAGGAGGCGTCTGGAGTGGTCTCCCTATGACTGCCCAACTAGCCTCAGGGACACCGCTGAGGGTGTCCACCCTGCCCAGGCCAGCGCCACCCTCGGCCCTCCCCAGCAGGGCCGCTGGTCCTCTTCCCCTGACTGGCCCACGGCTCGCCCTCCTCTCAGCTCTGCTCGCTCGTCCTGTTCTCTGCCACACCCTGGTGTCCAGCATAGGACCCAGCCCAGAGAGACAGCTAGGGATGCCAAGCATATCCAGCAGCTGCCTCAGACTCAGGTCTCTCTCAGCAAGGACTGGGGGGCTTCACACCCCCCACCCCCACCAGTTCCTCCTTGCAAGTCCTGCTTGGCCTGATGACACCACTGCTGCCACCAGGCCCTGCTGCCCCTTTCCCTGGCCGCACGCCAAGCACTGGCCACCTCCATCCTTCTGCGTGCCCTGGGGCCTCTGTTCTGTCCCTGCAGCAACCAAGCACTGCCTGAGGACTGGGCCTATTTGGGAAGCGTGTGTTGATCCAGAGGGTCCAGAAAAGAGCTGGGCCCACCCCCCAACCAGGGAAATACACCAAACTCTCCTTCCGCCGGAGTCTGGCCAGACAGCAGCGCTTTGCTCTAGGGTTTGGTTCTCCAGGGAGGAAACGGGGCTTGGGTTCAGAGGGTTGTAAACAGCCCCAGATCTGGCTGCCTGGGCAGGTGCTGATCCCCACTTGCCTCATCCTGTGGGGGTCGGGGCACGCCAAGCCCAGCAGGAGACACTGTACCCTGTGCTGCCCTCATGCTGCCCTTCCCTTGGTCCCTCCACAGGCTCTGGGCCCCTCAGAGAAGTCACTTCAGGCCCAACAGCTGCAACACTCACCCTCCCACCTGAAGTCTAGGCCCCTGACAGCAGGCCTGACATCCTACCTCCCACAGTGCCAGCTCTGAGAGGCTGGGGTGGAGGGGCAACAGGTTAACAGGCCGTAGAAGTTGGGGGGTCAGAGCCTTGGCCACTGGGACATCAAGGAGTGGGGGTACCAGACTGGGGTCCCCTCCCACACACCCTGGCACAGACGTGCAAGCTGGGGCCCACTGTACCCCATGTGGCCTCTTACTGCAGAGACCTGCCCCTGCTCCCCTCTCAGCCAAGGACCACGCAGTTGGGATGCCAGCAGCCTTGTCCAGTGCTGTTTATTGAGTCCATCGTCAGAGGCAGGAAAGATGCCACTCATCACAGAGGGCATGGGGGCTGTGGGCAGGGGCTTAGGGTCCTGCAGAGGACAAGTAGCTGGGACAGCCCTTCACCCCAGACCCCCCATGGCCGCTGGGAGGCAGGCTGAGGAGACAGGACAGGGAACTGCCAGGTGTAGAATCTGCACAGTCCCCTGCCGGGTTGCAGATGGCCACCACCCAGCAGACCCCTGACCTCACCCCACAGGCAGTTCCCCACCCCACTCCCCACCTGGGCCCTCCCAAACCAGGGCCGGGGAGTGAGACCCAGACCTGGTCCCAATGGCAGGAGGCACCCTGGCTGCTTCCAAGGCCAGGAGGGGTGGGTGGAATACAGTGAGACCAGACAAGGTAGAAGTGGGTGCAGTAGTCCCTGGCTACTGCCCAGCTTCCGGGACTCCCACAGCTGGGGCTCAGCCTTGGTCCTGGCAGTGCTGGGCTCAGAAATAAAGGGCTGGCTCGCTGCGGAAGTCCGAGAGGTCATTCTGACTGGCAGGTGTGAGCTGAAAGTGAGAGAACAGAATGTGGACACATGGGCTCGCCCAGGCATCAGACTCCCCGCAGCGCTCCCCTCCCCTGCAGCTCACCATGGCCTCTGTGGGCGGGGGCTCTGCCTCCCTCGGGGCCTGCTCTAGTGCCTGCTCCTGCCACTTGCTGAAGGCCACAGAGTGCTTCGGGGTGTAGCTGGACAGGCCTGTGAACGGAGATGCACACGTGGACATGTGGACACAGACCAGGCTCCACCCCGCCCAGGCTGCCTGTCCCCCTAGGTGGGCACCCACCTGAGCTGCCCTCTGGCAGCCGAGAGCTCTCGGGTCTCACGCTGCTCACAAACGTGGCCCGGGGCAGGAAGAGTGCAAAGGGCTTCTCCTCTGAGCCGGAACCCTCTTCCTCCTCTTCCTCCTCCTCCTCCTCCTCCTCCTCCTCATGCTCCACCTCTTCCTCCTGTGCTAGGGAGCTCTCGGAGGGGTACTCAAACGTGGTCTGCAGGCTTCTGTCATTGAAGGAGATCTTCATCTGGGAGTGAGAGTCACATGAACGAGGGCTGAGGGCCCACATGGGCACAATGCCAGGGGCTCAGGTCCAGCCCTCAGGATGAGGCTGACCCAAGTGGGGCGCCGGACGCACCAGATGCACCATCAACCCTTCGGGGGCTCCAAGAGGTGGGCGAAGACCTCTCCAGCTGGACCCTGCAGGCGTCCATCCCCTCCACCCTGGGGGCCAACTTCCCCTCCCAATCCCAACCAGGGAGCAAACTCTGATCAGGACCAGAAGCCCAAAGCCTCTGGGTCCCCAGAAGCGTCTAAACCAGCTCCCGGGGCTACCATCTCAGGACCCTCCTGCTCTGCTGTCTGGGCAGAGCACCAGCTGGGGGGACACTGGGGTGGACACATCCCCTCCCACTAGAGCAGGAACAGGGCGGAAGAGAGGCTGTCCCCTCAGGAGTCTTGCCCTCTAGGCTCCAGGCAGCTCCTGCTGGTGTCTGGGGCCTCTCTCTAAAGCCAAGTTCATGTCCTGGTTTACTGGATGCCTGGACAATCCGGCAGAGCACGGACCCCCCCACTGCTGACAAGGGCCTCTGTGAGGCGTCAAGGCCGGGCGGTAGCCCCAGGCACCATCACCCACCTAACATAGTTGAGAGTTGGCCTGAGGGACTGTGCAGAGTGAGGAACCGCCTCCACTGAGCCTGGGTGCCAGCGACCCCAGCAATGACCCCTTCCTCACCCTGCTGTCCCTCTGGCCCTCGTCCTCCGTCCCCACTTCGTAGGCTGCAGGATTTCACATCTGAGCAAATGCTTTCCTTTTCCCAGTGGCCTTGAAGCGCAGGCAGGGCTGCTGGTTCCCAGGGGCAATGGGAGCAGTGGTCAGGACTCTCCACCTCCCCTGACCGGGGCTTGCATGGGGCTAAGCTCCCCACAACAGCCGAGCTCCCACCGCTCAGCTGCACTCAGCCCGGCCCCAGTGGTCCCCCATGAAAATGAGTGGCCCCCACCTGCAGCAGATGGGAGCGGCCCTGCCGGAGCTCGAAATATTAAACTCTTCCTGGGCACAGGACACCAGCAGCTCAAGTTCCTCCTCCTCCCCTAGAAGGACCCAGAGGCAGGAGCCGGGCCCCAGGCAGAGAACCACCGCAGCCAGGCACAGTAGGATGAGACAGCCTCTCAGGAAGCAGCTGAGGCCACACAGGGCTGCCAGGACAGGGCCGAGGGCACACGCTCCCGCCATCATGCCCTCTCCCGCGGTGGCCACACGGCCCACAGCCAAGCGTACCCTTGGGTCCCTTCTCACCATGAACATCCCCACCTCCCACAGCCGGGGGGCCACCCTTTGTGCCCAAACCTCCAGCTTCCCTTCTCAGCACAGCTCACACAGAGCCCTGCTGGGCAACTCAGCTGCCTGCTTGCATCCCTACCCTAGGCCTCAGCACCCCAGCTGTCTGCACAGATGAGCGGGGGAGGGGGAGGCCACCTGGATCAGACAAAACAAGGAGAAAGGCACCAGCTCCTGTCCCTTAACTGCCCCGCCTGTGGCTAGGCCCCCCTGGCCCTCCAACGCTCATCCCACAGGAGGCCAGGCAGGGAGAGACTGGGACAGACCCTACAAACACCCACCCACTGCCAGCCCACTTGGGGATGGGGTCACCCAGCCCTCCCAGACTCAGGCTTTGGGACAGATACCCCAGGTGGAGGTGCTCAAGGCAGGACGGGGCTGGTGGGCCAGAGGTCTCCCACAGCCCCAAAGTCCAGCGACAAATGGGGCTTCCAGTCGCCCTGGATACGTGGAGCTAACCCAGATGACCCCGAAGCCCTCCAGGCCCAGCCCCCATGGCTGAGAACACAGAAGGGCCGGCTGCCAGGGCTGCAGGATTAGTGCCCTCGCTCGTGCACATGACCAGTCCCAGCAGGGGGGCTGCGGGGGCTGGGTGCACATGGGCCCTGAGCCTGGTACAGCCTGGCCAGGCAGTGGGGAGCGGGGGGTGGACAGGCAGCCCCTGTCTGCCCTCAGCTGGGGCCCAGGGCTCTGGTCACGTCCTGCCTCCCCAGGTCTCCTCAGCTGGGCTGGTGCACAGCCCTCCCCTCCCACTGTGGAGACAGGTCAGTGGGTCACAGGACACCCCGTGACTCATGCTGTGGGCAGCCTGAAGACCCCAGGATGCAGGATGGGCAGAGGGTGTGGCCAGGGGCTGGCAATGCAGCCTATCAGGGACTTCGCCTGGCGCAGCCAACAGAGAGCCCGCAGGTGGGTCCCGGCTCAGCCCAGCCTCCCAGCGGAGCCTCCTGGCTTCTCAGGACCCTTTTGTTCTTGCTCCACTCACCCTGCCTGTGCACACCTAGCTTTGGTTACCAAAGGGCCTGGCCTCCACCTGGGACAAAGGGCCAAGCAGCCAGCCCCAACCTGCCCAGATGGAGGTGTGAGCTGAGCCCAGCCCTGCCCCTCCCTCCTCCCTGCACACGGCTACCTGCCTCCCATCCCCCACGCAGCCCCAGCCAACGCTCCCACGGGTGGCCGGACCCTAGACCAGGCTGCCCGAGTGCAATGTCCACAGCAGGCTCCCGGGACGCTGGGTGCTCCCTGAGTCAAGTGTGGCCCCAGCACCAGGCACAGCCTCCACCCATGAGAAAGCTGAGGGAGGAGGGTCCAGGCGTCTGCTGGGGTCCCTGGCTTCAGAAAGACCACCTAGGTGGCACCTATGGGAAGAGCTGGTGGAGAGGTGGGAAGGAAAGGAAAGTTGACAAGAAGGGGCTCGGCCAACAACAGTGAGAGATGCAACAGCCCCTGGCCACCCAGGATCTGCGCTGCACAGGGGGAGAGGCAGGGAGGAGCCCAGTCTGGGGCTTGGTGCTGGCCGGGAGGTGGTGTCAGCAGGAAGGGCAGATGTCAGGGTGGCACTTGGGTCTAAGGATCAGAGAGCGAGGCCTAGGGAGTGGAGGCGGAAGTCCCACAGCAGGTGAGGGCAGACGGCCCTGGGTGTCCAGGACTGAGCCCTGGGGACACTGACATGCTCTGGCTGGGCAGAGAGCCAGAAGGGGAGGAGGGGAGGAGGAGAGGAGGGCAGAGGGGAGAGGAAGGGGCAGCCAGACAGGTAGGAGCCAGGCCAGGTGGCGCTCCACAAAGAGGAAAGGCTGCAGCGCCAAGTCCCACGGGCGGCAGGTGTGAGGATGAGAAGGGATGCCCCACCCTCCAGGAAAGCAGCCTGGGCGCGGCTGCAACAGCACACAGCAGTCTGCCCCAAGCTCAGCCTGTGAGACAGTGCACCTGCTGCTTCTGCCAAAGGACAACTTAAATGGGCCTGTGCCTGCCAGGCAGCTCCCCCACCCGGCACATAGGCCAGCAGCCCCCCACTGCCCAGAGCAGGGCGGCACCCCTCAGAGGCGTGCAAGGGCATCATACCCTGTGTGGGGACAGCCAGCCCCAGGGCAGGTGCCTCACAGACCTCCACCACCCAGACAACTCCACTGAAGAGCTGCCCTTCATCTGCACCCCAGGAAAAGCAGCAGCACCGCCAGTCACTGAGGCGCACAGTAAGCCGTTGGCCCACAGTCAGGTCCCGCTGGATTCCAGGCCCTGCAATCCCTGCACTCCACCCCCATGCTCTGGGGTCACACACAGCCAGTGGTCCCAACCAAAGGCTGGGGCCAGCACCGTGGCTCACGCCTGTAATCCCAGCACTTTGGGAGGGTGAGGCGGGTGGATCACCTGAGGTCAGGAGTTGGAGACCAGCCTGGCCAACATGGTGAAACC